CAAACATAAGAACAGCTAAAGCAAGCACAACTAGCTAAAAAATAGCTTAACAAGCAAAAGTGAGCCGAGAAAATAGGGAGCTTTAGAATAACGAGCGCTAATTTATCTCGCGTTACGGACGCTAAAAGCGTTTCTCTGCCGGGCACCCAAAACGCAAGCATCTCACACTTAAAGCGCCACCAAGATGTTGCGATAGGTTTTATGTTGAAGTTAGAATGTTATATCTTAAAAGTTAAACAAGCTTATCGTTTGGAATAACATTTTTATAGTTGTTTTATACTCAATGCCGCATGTTTCTGTCACTGCCAAGCTGCTCTGTTGCACTTCCGAGGCCACGACGATCCACAACCCCGGCATGTTTACATTTCTGCCGCGATCGCAAGCACACGCGCTTTGATAGCTTTGAGCTCTGAATCCAACGGTATGTGACATTTTCTGTACGCTATGGCTATACCAACCGCGGTCGCCAAGTGCGACTCACGCAGTCCCAAGCGGGCGGCGGGCGTCGAAGACGCGATCAACGGAATGTCGTGGGCGCCGCCATTTGCGGTATCCACGATATTTCCGAGAAATAACGGGCCCCAAAGCCCAAGCCCCAATGCTCGTTTTGGGTCTGCGCATTCGCACTAGCGACGACGTTATTTATTCGAGGTTGCGGACGTCATTCTGAAACTCCCTAATGTTCAAACTTCCACGCGTCTACAGTAAACAAAGACCAAAAGCATGCTTACCAACTGTGTTCAGCTAGAGGTGCTCGGTAGACTCGCGTCGTGGGTCTTCCAAGCTCTTCTTGACCATAATCAACATAAGAGGAGACTTCACAGATAGGTAAACTTGAATAAATGAGCACATTTCCATGTCTAAAAGCATTTTCGTCCCCTGACAGAAACCCACCCGACGCACGACAATTCAACGTCGGGAAAAAAAAAGTGTGGTGTCGCTAGCGATGGGGTGCTGTAACTAGTACGAGCTCGATAGGAATAGATAACTGGGCAAGTTGGTGAGAATTCACGTTGAGAGACAGCGCGACCGGGACGAGGACAAAAAGATGGAGAGAACACAGGACAGGCGCCGTCCTGTGTTCTCTTCGTCTTTTTGTCCTCGTCCCAGCCGTGCTGTTTTTCAACAATATGAGCTCCTAACAAAATCGAAACCGAAACTGGCTGAATCGCGATGGAGGGGTGCCGTAAAAATGTCTTTTCAAACTTAGGAATAAAAGAAGGTGAATACAACTATTGTTATAAGCACATGAAATAAATGTGTAAATCGTGACTAGTACCGACTTGCCATTTGTTTTGGGTGAAATGGAGCAGGAAGTAGATTTCTTCGTTTCAACCCATCAAGATATTTTCTTTATTTTTCGTGGAGATTACTTTTATTTACACTTTCCTTGTAGTATTTTATTAGTAAATTATTTTGACGCACCAGGCTCCCAAGTTTTATTTAGAATATTGCCCTAAAATTCATTCAGAAAAGCAAGCATTTCATTATGCTATTTTCCTCTAAATTGTGACTCTGTGTGTCTCTTATTCTAGCATTATTTCAAGCTACAAAACTATATGAATTTTTATAACCCATTGATTTACAATGATGGTGTGTTATGTAACCTGGGCTTAAACCATTTTTGCCATTCGAAAATATTGAGGAAAAATAAAGCGTAACATTGTCGCATAATTAACTTGACTGATGTACTTTTATGCATGCTGTTCTAGTGTGGACACATTTTTTGCATTTGGAATAGATATTTGCACCACACAGCCCAGGTTACATAACACATGCATCAAATGGGCCGGTGTATTTCTGACGCGGACTATTCTGACAGACATATGTCTAATTTATTCCTATTGCTCAAATATAGACATGCACAATTGGTACATTCCTATTGAATGATTCGAGGTTTCCACTAGTCAAGGAAGCATTCCTATTTGGCGAACAAAACTTTTGGTTTGACTGATGAAGATTCCTAATCGTCCGATAAAGTCCTTATGGGACCAGTCTAAGTTTCTATGGGACCAATAGGAATGCCTATTGGACCGATCGGAATTTCTATAGGCCCAATAGGCATTCCAATGGGACCGGTACACACTCCTATGGGACCGATACACACTCTTATGGGACCGATACACGCTTCTATGGGATTGATACACACTCCTATGGGACCGATACACACTCCTATGGGACCGATACACATTCCTATGGGACCAATAAAACTTCCTATGGGACCGATACACACTCCTATGGGACCGATACGCACTCCTATGGGACCGATACACATTTCCTATGGGACCAATAGAGCTTCCTACGGGACCGATACAGATTTTTATGGGACCGATAGAAATTCCTATCGGACCGATAGAAATTCCTATCGGACCGATAGAAATCTCTATTGGTCCGATACAAATCTCTATCGGAATTTTTGCTAGGGATGTCTCTAGAGAAAAGGCGAGATGTCCTAGGTGTAATGTATTCCCTTGGGATACGGGCTGTATTACAACATCCATGTCGGGAACTAGTTGAGAGAACGCGTTTTGAACGAACCTTCCAAAGTAAGCCCACTGTTAGGCTTCCCTTTTTTTTGCGGAACAAAACCGCGGCTGTTTCAGCTAGCCTTCAGATGAACCCACCTGTTGCTTAGCTTTCGGGAACAGTGGCACCATGGGAGCATAGTTTGCTCATCACAGACTTGTCACTCACTGAGTACACTAAGGGAAATACACCGCCAGAAGTCTTAAAGCAGGAATTCTTTCAGCTACAAAATACATATAAAGGCCACACCAGCTTTTATACTGACGGCACAAAAACCGACTCTTGTGTCGGCTGTTCCGTGATTGGACCATCACTTAAATGTGTGTGGAGGATTAATTCCAGTGCAACTATCTTGACTGCGAAGTTAATGAATGGCTTTTCTAGCAGAAAAAATTTGAACTTTTCAGCTTGATGCATTTACCGTAAAATAGGTATTTTAATATGTAAAAAAAGTATAAATAGTTTAGGTTTTTTCTCTAAAAATTGGCTCTGCAATTGCTGGCTGGCTGTTAGAAATTCTACATGCTATAAAATAAAAAACTAGAAACGCTGAACTTAGTGTAGAGAGCAGGCCACCGAGCAGACAACCCTGTCCGATGCCCCAGCTAAGGGGGTGAGCTCTGTACAGTCGTCGTTAGCGAGAACACTGCTTCTGCTGCTGTCATGGTACAAGTCCTTGACCAGCTATTTGAAGGTGTCGCCGGCCCTCTGTGCACTGCTTCCAGAATGGCATTGTGGGGGATGCAGCTAAATGCATTGCTGAAGTCCAGAAAGGACACACAAGAATCCTTACCCATTGTGCATGTCTCATCTAGGCACCTTTGCAATATTCAACAATCTGGCATCTCATCATGAAGACCGAAACCGTTTTGCACCCTGCTCAAGATCTTGTGTTCGAACAACTAGGTTTGGACGGTCTGCCAGCACCCTTGAGTGGAGCTTGCCGCCGGTCATTTGCAAGAGTAAGAGCGAACACTGAAGGGCGAGGTCACTTCGGTTTCCCTTTGTGGAGACAAGTATTGTGTGAAACTTCTGCAACGGGTCTGGAAAGGTCCTCTACTGGTGGCAGATGTCAATTGCCGCCATGAGGAAACGACATCTGGGGTCGACGGCCAATCAGTGGTGCCAGGTGAACCTATCACCCCAGGATGGCGTGTTCTCACAATGGCGGGCCTTCTTCAGCACTTCACTCTTGGTCATGAGGTTGAGTGATGGCACGTCACCGGCTGGCTACCACTCTATGAAGAGGCTGGGGGTGTTGTGCAAATTTTATTTTAAATCGTATGCATAATTTGTCTATGAAGATACAATTGTGGTCATATTTCTGACAGGCTTTCTACTCTGAAGATAGGGGTGAACTATCATTGGAGTTAGAAAACAAACCCCATATTTTCTTTTATTGTATCTTAGCATGGAAGGTTATTCGCGTATCTAGAGACACAGCCTGTTGCGTAAATTAGTCATACCACTTGTGGTCTAATATTGTTTTGCCCCTAACATGTTCTCCCTCCTTGATAATTTATTTCACTGTGCGTGGGATGCTCGGCACGCTCTTTGGAGCCCGCCAGACATGAAGAACAATCTCTCCACAGCCCCAGAGGATGGGAACACCCATGCAGATCACTGCCAGCTGTGCCAGCTTAGGGTAATTGCATGCTTTCATTTTTTTTGCAAAACGCTAGGATTTTATCGTTGGTGTACCCGGTATTCAGGTATGCGCCGAGCTCTGATTGTTGTTCTACTTCGACTGGGCTAACAAGATCCAGGAGCTGGAACATATTGTGGGCATCCCACAGCGTGGGAGGTGCATCAGGAGGCCGCGATGGCATGCCACTGGTTCCAGCAACTGGTTCGGTGTCATCACCGGAATCCGAGGAGAGAGATAACAATGTGCCGGTAAGGTATAAAAAATAGGACTCTACTGCACTGTCGTGCGTTTCAAGACGAGTAGAGTCAACACCACAAATGGTAATAATAATAATAATAATAAATGGCACGTGTAGCTGCAAAAAGTTAGATATTTTGGTTGGTCAAAGCCTGCAAGGAGTTATGGGACAAGACCAAGCATTAAAAAAATAATAATATTTATTAAGCGAAAGCATGCCTCATTACAAAAATTAGGTCTGCCTAAGCTAAAGTAGAGCTTGTGTGGCGCGACTTTGCAGTGGAGGCACATCCGACATTAACGAAGCTGCGAACCTGTTCCCCCGAATTTCGGCATTGCCACACCATGACTGAGTGCAGCAACAGATGAGACCCAAATGCTGCGTCAGTGTTCGGCTCTCGTGTTCAATTAGAGCCTTAGCGGATGCTGGGTGCCCATTCGCTGGTTCCGCGGTGCTTTAGTGTGATGATGTCTTGCAAAGAAAGAGGAGGCAGAGAAGACGCTTTGATAACTGCAGGTGGTTTTGGTTATTTGGGGTCACACAAGAGGGGTACCGTGATGGCACTGAGTGCGACAACAAGAGACTTACGTTGTGGTCCAGAAGGGCGAGTGGCACACTGGTAGATGACGGCCACCCGTGAAAATAAAGTAGAGCAGAGCCCATGCGGGCCTGCGGAAAAGATGAGGGTCTTGCATGACGAGGTGGTGACCGGCGGGCCGGGGGGCATGGGAGCCATGGAAGGAAAGAGACATCAGGCAGGGTGAACTTCCAAACACATACTGTTTATGTTACAGTAAACAACATGGGGGTCAAGCGCCCCGGGCCATTAGTCTGAAGGCTTGGACTCAATGGTGGCTAGTGGTGCTACCTGGCTACAGTAGATCCCTGTGGCAGTTAATGGTGCCATCTATGTAGCGTGAAAACTTAATTGAAGAAAAATTAAAATACAACATCTTTCCTTTCCTTAGAAAAAAATTAAACCCATATTCTTTCCTTTTTTAGAAAAAAAATGCACACCTTTCCTTATACAAAAACAGCAAGGTGTGTTCTCTTTAAAGACAAAAAACGTTGCACAGAGAAGAGGAAAGACTAGACTAAATAGACAGCATCAGTTAAGGGTATTATATGAAAACATATTTAGAAGATGCAAAGAATGAGCTAACACTTGCAACAGTGTCGCCTAAGCGACAAGAAATGCCGTTTAACACACATGACATTTCATAAGGCCAGAGCTCTAAAGGCAGAATAAAACAATAATTGGACAAAAGAAATTGGGCAGAACACTGGGCGTGTAGCCAGTTAACACTTCTTACTGCATGTTGCGAGAAAGAAAAACCAAACACTTCACATAAAAGCATGTGAACATGCTTGTTGACATGTAAAACACTGAAGATAGTCATGTCTTCCGAAATGCAGTTGTCACCCAAAAGAAAAAATTCACTGAGGTTGGCTATGAGTAGTGTCTATTGTTTTGTCTATACACTTGTCGAAATTAACCTAAGAGTTCCTTTATTGTGACCACATAGTCTTTAAATCGTCCCGGCAGTCTCTGGGTTCAACGCGGGCGACTCTCTTACCGGGGAGTAGATGTGTCTGGACCCTGGGTCTGGGTCTCTGGAGGATCCAACCTGGATGTCGGCTCACTGAGTGTTGCCGGCGGCACTCCAACAGGGAACGACACTGGCACTGGTGCACCGTCAAAGGAGGTGCTAGAAGTTGCACCTTCAGTAGCAGTCTCTGTGCAGCTGGATGACCAGCGGGCGTCTGACCAGCTGTTGTCTGCCGACGTCCCAGGAGACAGGTTCTGCTCAGGTGACGGAGCATTCTCTTCAAAGAAATCGACTGGCTGTAGAGGTGCTCGGTATGTTTTTGCAGGTTTGTCCTTAGACTGGCAGATGGTGCAGTGTTGTACATATTGTTTGATCTGTAGAGATACAGTCGAGCCCACTTATAACGGCCCCACTTAAAACGAACGTTCGGTTAATACGAACAATTTCTCATCCCCAAACATATTTCGCAAGAATCCTGCACAAAACGGCCCACTTTTAACAGCCATTTCTGAGCGCAATTCTCGGATAGAACGAACGAAACGGCGCTGACGGCGCCGCGACCTTGGCTGCCGGCGGAGATAAGGCAGGGGAGAGGAGGCGCAAAACGCGGAGGAGCACCGGCAGCGCAACACCCCGACAGCGTCGGGTTCTTGGGGAGGGGGATTGGGAGGGAAGAGGGAACGAAAGGGGAAAGCAAGACAATCAGGCCTCCCAGCCCAACGCTTTGCACGCGTTCTGCTCGAAGCGTTGGGGCCGTGTGCAAAGCCCCCTTTTTTTTGTGTGTGTTTTTTTTTTTTTTTTTTTTTTTATTTTGAGTGTTGGGGTTTCGCGGTCTTTTGTCTTTCGTTCCGTCTGAAGCGTGTTGCCTCTTGTCGTTTGGTTTCGGCATTTCGGCTCGACCTCCGCGCAATCGTTCAGTCTACGGTCACTCGCCGAGTCATCGATCGTTATGTCGGACATTGCTTCAACTGCGAAGAAACGCAAGGCGATCGACATGGGCACGAAATCTGCAATCCTTCAGGAGCTGAGCGCAGGGGCGAAAAACGGCGACCTGTGCAAGAAATATGGCTTATCGAAGTCCACCATTTCGACGATCGCCAAGGAAAAGGAGAAGATCATGGCAGCAATGAGCATGAATGGTGACTGCAGTGCTCGAAAACGGCTGCGGCCCGCCGCGTACAAAGACGTCGAAGACGCTCTCTTCAAGTGGTTTCTCGACGCAAGAACTATGAACGTCCCCATCAGCGGACCCCTGCTGCTTGGGAAAGCCAGGGACTTCGCGTTTCTCCTGAATTTCACAGAGTTCAGCCCTGGAAACGGATGGCTCCATCGCTTCAAGGAGCGCCACGGGATTGTTTACAAGTCCATCGTCGGGGAAGGGGCATCCGTGGACATAGAGAGAGCGGAGCAGTGGCTTGCTGACAACCTGGACGAGATCTACAGCTACAGTGAGCAAGATGTCTACAACGCGGATGAAACTGCATTGTTTTACCAGATGAGGCCTGTGCGTACGCACGCGTTAAAGGGCGACAAATGCGTCGGTGGGAAGCACAGCAAGGTGCGGATAACTGTGCTCCTGTGCTGCAATGTAGACGGCAGCGACAGGCGCTTGCCGTTTGTGATTGGAACGGCGAAGAAACCGCGCTGTTTCACCAACCCCCTGCCCGTACGGTACCGAGACAGTGCCAAGGCTTGGATGACTCGGCAACTCTTTGCCGAATGGCTCACGGAGCTTGACAATGCCATGGTCAAGCAAAAACGAAAGATCCTGCTGATCCTGGATAATTGCTCAGCTCATCACGTGAACCCACAGCTGAATGCTGTGACTTTGATGTTCCTCCCTCCGAACGCCACTGCCAAGCTCCAACCCCTCGACATGGGGATCATCAGAAATTTCAAAGTGTGCTACCGCCGCCGCGTCATCGAAAGGCTGCTCATCGCAATCGGCCGACCAAGTGCGCGAGGGCCTCGGCTGACAATTTCTCTCATGAACGCGGTGGAAATGCTGAAGGCCTCCTGGATGGAAGTCAGGTCTGGCAGCATCAAGAACTGCTTTCGAAAAGCTGGGATTTCGTTTTCTCCTGCGGAGCAATCTCCTGCGGAAGCAAGCCAAGACGATGCGCAAAGCATCGACTCGAACCTGTGGACCCAAGCCGTTGCTGCTAGTCTGACAGAGGAAGGGCAGACGTGGGACGACTTCGTTGACGCCGACGAAGATGTCATCGTCTCTGAGAGCGCCTCCGATGAAGCTATCGTGCGGGAGGTGCGGCAGGACATCGCGGCGTCCGACGACGAAGAGGACGACGAAGACGACGTCGGCGATGGGGTTGCTCCCTCACCTCCGGTTTCGACAGCGACGGCTTTGGGGCACATAGCTTCGTTGAAGCAGCTGGTGTACGCACGGGGACTGAGCGATGTTCACATCGATCAGCTGAGCAACCTGGAGAGCGCTATAATTGGATCTGCACTGCGGAAGCAAACAGCGATTACGGACTTCCTTGAATAAACGCCATGCACATCGATCGCAGGTGTTGCGCTTTCCAATCCGTGCCGTGCTTACTTATTTATCTTGAATTTTAAGGGTAAGTCCATTTATAACGAACTTCTCTTTGAGCGAACGCGTTTCGTGTTGTAGAAGGGTTCATTGTAAGCGGGCTCGACTGTACTTGAGGCCACCAGTAGATTTCTTTGATGAGGCCTGCGGTCCTTGTGATCCCTTGATGTGTTTTGTGCACTATCTCGATGACCTGGTTACGCAGACTGATAGGCATGACAATCTTTTCTGCTTATAACAGCAACCCATCCACCTGCGACAGCTGTTCTTGGACTGCGAAGCAGGGCTTGAACCCTGGAGGCAGCTTGTCTTCAGCTGGCCACGTCGACGAGATGTACTGCATGACTTGCGGCAGGATGGGGGCCCTGAGCTGTGTCGTCTTGGAAGTCGCGCTGGTTCAGCGAGGCGCAGACAATTGAGACCACTTCTTCTGGAAACTTTGGGCCATTTTCGGTGTCCTTGGCAGGCAGAGAGGACAGTGCATCGGGGACGGTGTTGTCAGTGCCCTTGCGGTACTCCATAAGGAAGTTGTAGTTGAACAGGATCGTCGCGAAGCGATCGTTGGAACACGACTTTTGCGTGGAAGCAGCCCAAGACGGGAATCGAACCCTTCATGTAGTGCACCAAAGTGCGCGGCAGCTTTGATAACTTGATGCGGCCACTCCGATTGATGCGGTTAAAACTCGCATCCGACAGATGATGCGGTTAAAACTCGCATCCGACAGAAGGGAAACTTCAGCATCGGTATCAATGAGTATGGAGAGAGGGAAACGTTCACCTCCACATCGGCCGTGAAGCTTCGGTACTGAGAACCGGGTCGTTGCTCCGGGCGACCCCACCGTTTAGACGCTGGGTCGCAGCTCGTCGTCGTCATCTGAGAGCGTGACGACGCCTTGGAAGGGGGTCCTTGTTGGACCAGGCTCTGCTTGCTGACGCTGGTAGTAGTTGCGGACGGAGGCCCGCTGCCCGGCACGAAGGGCCACTTGACGTTGATCGTGGTCGCCTCTTGAACGACTTCGGCACACGTTGGCGAAATGTCCCACATGGCCACATGAGAAGCACGTAGCTCCGGATGCCGGACATTGTTCCCTCGGGTGGCTTCTTCTACAACAGAAAAATTATCCTCCCTCTCAAAGGAGAGGACATGCGCCGGGGGAGGGTCACATGGGTACGAACTGGCCAACGGGCGAGAGGGAGCTCACGGTTCCCGGTGGTTCAGACGCGGCGGGGAAGGAGGGAAGGGCCGATCGCGTCTTGACGAAAGAGGGGGAGGCTCGTGTCTCGGAGAAGAGCGAGAGGGCTTGCATGTCAACTAAGAAAGGGGAGGTCGTTTGCATCTCGGAAAAGACCCGCGGCGGGGTGGCTGCCCGCCATTTTGATCATCGCGGTTGCGATGGCGGCCATCTTGAGTGCTCTGTACCACGTGCGGCGCGTTCGGAGTCGAGTCTAACGACAAGCGTCGGAAGAGATCGCAATTACGAGATGTCCGCACGAACTGCTGCGCTAGCTGGACAGCACGCTCGAGGCTAGGTGCCTTAGCTCTGCCGGTCTCTGATTAGACGATCTTGCACTTCCGTGTTACGGGTCCCCGAAATGAACATCTCCGCGACGCGGCTTTCCAAAGCCTCGCCGTAACCGCAGAAGAAAGCTAGGCATTTGAGCGCCTCAAGATACCCGAGGACGATCTCACGTGGACCCTGTACCCTCGTGACGAACTCTCTACACTCAACTACGACTTTTTGAGTGGAAGCGAAGTGGGTGTCTAGAATGGACAACAGAACGTGAAACTCGTCCTGTGCCGCGTTAACGGCTAGACCCGCCAAGTCCAATGCATCAACTACGCGATTTCCTTCCTCTCCTAAGATGGATAACAAGATCGCCCTCTTCCGTTTCGGCGGAAAATCTTCGTAGTCGGTCGCCTCTAGGTAGTTCAGGAAGCCGCGCTTCCATGTGAGCCACGGTATTACCGGGTGTACGGAGGAAGTCGGCAGGAACGCGACCCTGCGCAGCCGCCATCTTGGACGCAACAAACAAAGGCGCCCTTTCTTTAAAAAAAATACATGTCCCGTCTAGACTCGGAGTATGGCTCGTACAAAAAGAGAAACACTGCGATGGGTCATCGTTATACAAAAAAAAAGAAACAAAAAAAACAGGCTCCCGCCGAGGGACTCAAAGCAGCACCGGCTGCAAAACGTAACTGGCCTAAACGGCAGCAGGTTACGAGATGCGAAAAAATAATCTCATGCTTGTTTGCCATAAATGTAGCAAATGACGGCCACCCGTGAAAATGAAGAGCCAAGCCCACGCGGGCCTGCGGAAAAGATGAGGGTCTTACACGACGAGATGGTGACCGGCTGGGCCGGGGGCGCGGGAGCCATGGAAGGAAAGAGACGTCAGGCGGGGTCAACTTCTGAACACATACTGTTTATGTAACGGTAAACAACATGGGGGGTCAAGCACCCTGGGGCCATTAGTTTGAAGGCTTGGGCCCAATGGTGGCTAGTGGTGCCACCTGGCAACAGTAGATCCCTGTGGCAGTTGGTGGTGCCATCTATGTAGCGTGGAAACTTAATTGAGAAAAATTGAAATACAACACACACCACACTCTAAAATTCACTCCTAATTGGGAACCATCCCCCTGCTTTTGTTTGTGTCTTGCGTCAGATGAGAACACCATTGGCAGTACCTGTTTTAATGATTGCCCAATATTAATTTATGTTTCCAATATTGTGTGTGTCCGTAATACATCGCTTAACACCTCCGTGTTTACTTCTACCGCAAGGCTTAGGAATTACGATAGATCGATAGATTGCTAAAATGGTTTCACCCTAACATGATATGTGCAAGAGCAATGGCTATGTGAAACGTCATGCTCACTGTTAATACAATGTTCAGGTCTTCGAGACAACCATGTTTTAGGTCTCGTCATGCACTGGACATGCCCTGTATGTCGCTGTGAACAAGCCTTTGCATGATATGCGGTGTACGCGCAGGAATCTTTTAATGTATTTAGAATAAGTCACGCTCTACATCTGACTACACAAGTGGAGCAGAAAAGCTCATAGCTTTTCCAGAAAGTGAAGCAGCTTCTTGACAACTGTCGTTGCGTCTGCCGCTGTTGACTTCGGCAGCCCTTCGGCGAAAGTTGCCTGAAAGACCCTCAACTTTTGTCGTGGGTCTAGAACACTTGCTGCAATGATGTGCTCATCGTACAAAAGAGCCGTAAACCTTTTGCTGAGCTCGCTTATAAGCTGACTTGAAGCTCAATGAAACTGAAAATAAAAATTGACGAGAATGTTCCAGTTCCAGTTCACATGAGTGTGATTGACATACACTGCGTGACACAGCATGAACAGGACATCAATCTTTTAAATCCGTGAGAACACATAATCACACTAGTTATTTCAACGACAGGCGTTAAATCCTCATAGAAATGCATAAATGCCGGCTGTTGTTTGTTCGTACTTATAGTGTCGCAGTCTGTACGCCAATGAAGCTTTTATGTTTATAACTAAAAAAAGGTTGAAGTTTCTGGATGGCCATTCCGTGTTGTTCTGCAGTAGTTCAAACACAACTATGCTATCATTCAAGCGATGGAAATGCAGCTTTTGAAGCTCTTTTCTAAAGCTTCCAAAGCAGAGCTTCTGGCCCTACAAAGCTGGAAGCTTTCCAAAGCTTCCAGGGCATTCGTTCTGGAGCAAGCTTATTCTTAGTTTGAAAACACGCCGTGTATATTTTTCGATTGTCTGTGACCGAGTGTTTATGTTCACAGCTCCAATTGATTTTGGTCTGGAAACATGTCAACTTCAAGCACATGCTCGGAAGCGTTCTTGTCGGCACTCGTGGTTTGCATCCGTTTGCTAACCGGAACTTTGGAACCGCAAGCTTTTTACTCAATAGGGAGTTTTAGTAGGCCATATTGAGAGACGTGCTTCCGAGCATGCTTCGAAGTGCCAGCACGAGCTCCCGATGCAGGTATCGTTTCCTGAAAACATGACCTTCCAAACTCGCTATTTAGCACGCCTTTAATGTCGAATTGCACAGCCTCCTCTACACGCTGCTTTTAGGAACAAGTGGTTGTAGGACGAGGGTTCACATATCTAGAGTGTTTCGATAAGGGGAATGCAATTGAAAAAAAAATGCCCACGCGGTGACTGCATTTATAATCTATTTAAAAGCTTTTGTGCAGTGCTGTGAGAAGAAATGCCAGAGCACATTTAATTGATCTTTCAGACTGCAATTGGTTTTGTGCACGAAGCACCTTGCACAGCTGAGCCTGCGCTCAAATGCATGCGATCATTGCACTTCATGTTGCAGAGGTGGGGAGCTAGGGGCGGCTGGACGGAGACATTTTTTGCTAACACCCGAACCACTCATTAGAGCTACTTCGAACACACAATGTCTAAATATACAAACAGTGTAAGTTGTTTTCTGAGACACATTAAAGAAAGATATATATATATGGCACACAAAACTAAAATCGGTTTTGGAGCTTTAGGTAAATAAGAATAACATGGCATCTTACGCTTCCACTGGGTAGCTCTTTATCTGAGTATAGCATGTGCTAATGCAGAGGTGCACAATCGCTGACGTTATTTTGTCCCCTTGAAGCCTGTCCTGGCCCGAGGAGTTTCATTGTAGTCCTGCACGAGTTCCTCGACTGCGTTGAAGACACCTGCCTGCAAGTTCGGCAGCGGGTCAGAGTTTATCAATAATATGAAATGTGATAATTTTCTGCTTTGGTCTACCTGTTTGAATAGCCTCCAACCTTGGTGAACGTAGATATGCAGAGAAAGGATAAAGGAGAACATAATTTCCAATTGATAACATGCTCTTAGCACTTCTATGTATACTGTTAATACAATTATCTCTCTTTCGCAAGGAGAGAAATAATTGTATATAACAATATACACAGAAGTGCTTGAGGCATGCTATCTGTCAGAAATCAAATGAAGCGCATGAAAAAAAAAAATGGCAGCTTGCAGAAGGCTTTTATTAAAAAGGTTCATTGGAGGGGGGGCAGTGGCTTATCACAGGGAGAAGAGACAAAATTGGCAAGATCAAAAACGTGAATATTGTAAGTGGTTGCGTTTTGTTTGTGTGGGCCAGTATGATCCCGTACTTAAATCGAGGATGCAGGCGAGCTGGTTTAATAATGTCATCTACAACCCTAGAGAGTGGAGTGTGAGTGAAGGACACACAGAGGACAACACAAACCTCCGATTTCTGTTGTCCTGTCCTTCACTCACCCTACTCTCCAGGATTAAAGATGATCCCGAAAATCGGGTCTTTGGGAACATTGGTGTCGTTAGGTGGAAGTGATATTAACTTCTATAGGTCTGCTCCTTTTAGCTGCCAGCTCGCCTGAGTCCTACCTTACACTGACAATACCCGTGCACGCTATCTCATGTTATGTTTAAGCTATTGTGAGATATCCAGTGTGAGCAGACATGTATGACATGTCTCTATACATGTTCAAACTGCATGCTAAAATTTTTAAACGACGTCAAAAGTGCATGAGAATTGGACAATGAAATGTGCCTATGTGTCTACTTTGCCGCAGCGCAGCAGGTGGACCAACCGTTTTTGAGTTACGAAGTGCGTGCCCACCGACTGGCGAGGTGCAGGGAAGCGTGATCTGCACTGTGACAATAAGCCAGTGAAACCTCATAAACATTGCCCGTGCACCATATAAAAGTAGCGTTGATATTTTTTCGGGCCGTGTTACACGCCGAGCACATTCGGTATGGAGGGCGCTCGGCAAATGATGTGAGTATATATGGTTTCCGGACATTTCATTGAACATTGTTTCAAAGAAAAGGGGACGTTTCATTTAACGCCGTTTCATCGAACTGCTGACGGCCGTTTCATCAAATGTGTTTTTAATTGCCAAGTTTCCTTTTTTATGACAATATAAAAATGTAGGGTGCCCTACACTCGCGTTCGAGGTTTTTCAGTACTAGTTTTCCCGAATTCAGGAACACCAATTTCCTTTCCTTGTTCCTTACCTTGCGTAAGAAAAGAAAATGGGCTCACTTAAGGAAAGGCGCCATTTCATGTCAGAAATGTGCCTCGCCCTTTCCTTTCAAGAGGAGCAAACATAGAAAACCTTCATTGTGTGAGGAAAGTCTGAGCATGTCCGGTGTCAAGATTATAGTACATTTTTATGTCTGAACTCGGAAATGAGTTTCTAGAACAAGTAGATTATAAAACAATTGCCATGCAAAGTGTTTTGGAACTGTATGCAGCTGAGAAGGCGAGTGTTTGTTTAAACAAACATATGTTTGGCTTGTTTTGACTGCACATTGCGTCCTCGTTATTCTTGTCTGGCAACATGCGACGAGCACTTTGTCGGCCTTTTGTGCTCGCACTACTTCCTTGGTATCCTCGCTTTTTCACTCTTCAGTATCTTCTTTTTCCTCAAGTTCTTGTCGTTTTTCTTCCACGCATCAAACAAGCCGAAGAAGTTTTTCTTCGGACAAGAAAGCCTTGCTCGTGGAGCTAGTGCCGAAATACAAACTGATAGTAAGCAGAAGCACAAATAAGTCGACGGCCAAGGTAGAGGCGGTGGCGTGGGCTGCCCTGACCATCAAGTTCAACAGCACTCGAGGGTTCTACAAGCGGGACGAGGCACAGCTCAAGAAGTGTTGGGACAATCCCAAGACGTAATTGAAAAAAAAAAAGAGAAGACCATTGAAAACCAGTATTGCATCGCAACAGGTGAGTCACCTTTCAAAACCATGTTAAAGCAATAATACAGGCAAGCTAGTTACACAGACAGTGTGAACTCTGCACTTGTCCTTCGCTCGTGTTTCCTTTCCTTCAGAAATATACTGGAGCTTCTAAAGAGGCTTATAATCAACCTTGTCAAGGGAAGGAGTTTGTCCCCTGGTCCAGACTTTATTCATTACAGTATGGTTCAGCATTTACATCCTGCAACATTAGATACCATTTTAACATATTTTTAACTGCGTATGGAGCAGTGGAGTTTATCCCATTCTCTGGAAAATGGCAATTGTGATTCCTACTGGAAAGAATCCATCATTACCTTCCAGCTACAGGCCCATTGCACTCACCAATTCCTTTGGAAAAACGTTTGAACGAATGGTGACCTCTAGATGGGTGTCTTTCTTAGAGCAGAAAAACTTCTTCGACAAATTCTAATGCGGGTGTCAGATGGGGCAATCAACTGTTGATCACCCCTTTCGCTTAGAAAAAACAGTCGGGGATGCCTTTGTAAGCAAACAACAATGTTTATAGGTGTTCTTTTATATTGACAAGGCATTAGATTCCACATGGCGATACGGAATTTTAAGTGATTTAGTTTCAGCCGGAATTCGTGGGAAAATGCTAGCTCTTATCAAGAGCTTCCTCGATGAGTGCTTGTTCCAAGTGAAGCTGGGCACGACACTTTCTGAAACGTTTGTCCAGCAGGATGATGTTCCCCAAGAGTGTCATTTTGTTTCTGATCAAAATGAACTCTCTTAGACAGGTTCTTCCCCGATCTCTCTCCTATGCACTTTATGTTGATGATGTACCAATTTCCTGCTCTTCTTGTAATTTAGCCATTTGTGAATGCCAAGTTCAACTAGGTATTAAAGGGCAACTCCGGTCCATACTTTCGATTTTGGGATTATGGCTGTTTTTAGTGCAGTTAGCGCCCCTGAATTGCAAGGTGTAATTTTTTTCTCGTTATTGTGCGTAGTTTTAAAGATATCGACGTCTCAAAGTTTTGTTTGGGGCGCGGCCGACAAAACCGAAACTAGCCGCTCGAGGTTCCGGCAACACTGGAAATCAGCC